AACTTAAATAATCTAACCATTTCTTATGATTTCTTAGCTTTGTTCTTAAGAAGCCAGGCCCTAATTTTAGCAAATGAGAATCTTACTTTATGGTCTTTTTAAATCTTTTTCGTTAGTAGCAAATGAGCATCTCCCTAGATGAGTAGGCACACACTCTGGCTATGTTCTGGGTATTTCTGCACAGTCTAGACGAGTGCAGTGTGATAATTTAGAAAAGATATTTCCCTACACAAATTGTCACCAGATTCAAGAGAATGCTTCTGATGCATGGTATGATATTCAGTTAGCAAGATATTTCAAAAGCAAGGCCTTTGTTGACTCCTTATTAATGGATAATATTTCTTTCGAGAATGACAGTCCTGATGTCCACATATAAACGGAAAAATACAGAGTCAGATGGTCGGACTGTTAGGTGTGCACCCCAATAAGGGAGCTTGTTATCAGAAATTAAAAGGTGCCTGAAGTTGGACTCAGAGAACATAATGCCTGGATGTCTGGACCTCAGAATACTCACTCATATGTAGAGTTGGTCTTTGTAGCTGTCATGACAGCAGGCAATCTGAGGATGCACAAACAGGAAACAAATGATACTCACAGAGGTGCTCACACACCTTTTGAAAGATGCCTGGGACAAGCGGGAACTTTCAGCCTTTCTAGTGAGTCCAAGACATCTGAGGAAATCATGGGATTTGATGCTGGGATGGTCACACCCTCTCCTGTTCAGTCAGCTCTCAAATCTGTGCACAAAAACATTGTGCCCTGACAAAAACATAATAGCATGGTTTAGCTACTTCTCTCTATCGTTTGCTGAACTGGATCTGCCTGCATTGGCCTCACCCATCCAATCCCTCTTCCAGGTCTTGCTCTCTTTCCATACCATACCACTCCCCGCTGGCCACTCATAATGATACTGCTGTGTTCTCACCTTTATCTGATATTCTGTGTGCTACTGCCATATCTCATTAGTTCCTTTAGCTTCTACCTAAGCAGAAAGACAAAACAAATTCCAGCACTCCAAGCCCTGGGAGGTACAGGCCCCAGGGCTATCTTGGTTCTTCCTGGCAACCAAGGCTGAGAACAGGTCTTTGAGAAACGTTCTTATAGGTAAAGTACAGCTAGTGCTGAAGGGGAGACTCCAGAGAAGGGGTTTGACTGGGGGGGGTGTGGAATTTCATCACCACGTGTCCTCCTAATTGGTGCTTTTATCAATTATGCTAATTTCCTAAAACGTATAAAAATGTACTCACCCCTGGGGGAGGATGGGCTTTTGTGGACATCTTTCCATAACTGCTTCTGAAGGCCTTCATTAAAGATCCTCTTTTATATTACCTCCTTACAAAAATTATCTTGAGTTTCATTTCCAGGCTGGGAAAAGGCAACAAGTATCTAAATCTGGAGTTCCAAAAAGAAATTCCTGGTCATGCTTGTTTGTAATGTAAAAACGGGAGATTTCCTTGAGCCTTAGTGTTTAAAATGTCTGTTGGTACCTCAGGAAAGCTGTGCCTGACCAGTCTGTCAGTATCCCATTATAGGGACCCTTCACTGAACAGTCCTGCTGGATGGGAGGGCAGGATTGACTTATTCAGGGAAATGCACCAGCAGCACAAGGGAGACCCCTCAGCAGATGTTCCTCTTTACTCCAGTATGTTCCCTCCTACTGGGGACTGCCGACCCATGTGAAAGTCTCATTCCATAAACCAACAGTTTATGGATTATCACTCCTTATTAATATAAAATTGTGACAGCTTAAAGTTCAAGGATTGCTTGTCATAGTATGTGACTGCAAAAATATGTTCAAAGCAATACATGGACAAGCTCTAATCCCCAATATGTTCAGTATGCACAGAGTGTGATTCTTACCCAACAGGCATCCCTACAGGGGAGAAGACATCAACTGAACCAGCAGTTAAAATTGAGTCTTCTCTAACTTTCCCCCCATTCTCAACTTGATTTATGCTAATTCTCTACGTTTAGGTGGAGCTTGAGTGACCCTAGTCATACATCTTTGTTACTGATTGGTGTAAAATTTTCTCACTTTGCTTTTAAAGATACAGTCAAAAAGAATTTTGAGCATACGCCCAGTGAGGGGTGGTTGTACCATGGAGATGAGTAATTTTGGGATGGAGCTGCGTGTTAATATTAAAATTAGGGTACAGTGAACCAAGTTCATCTGAGGAGAGAGATTTCACCACAGTTGTTGACTCAGCAGCAGGACATCTGCTCTGCTCTCTGCCCTGGCTGACAGGTGTTCTGTGGTTTATCAGCTGCTAAATCCCATCAGGTTCCTTTCCCTTCAAGGATTTCAACAGAGCCTGGCCACAGTGTCTCCACTGTGCTTCACCCTCCATTCCAGCCCCTTAGCAGGTGTGTGTGTATGGGAATCACTGTGGAATAGGTTTTGAGCATGCCAGCTGCATTCCAGACAGGGAGCAGCAACTGTATTTTACCTTAAAATTCCTGTACCATTATAACTTCTTAGGATGTAGATATAACTTCTCAGTGTCCTCTAATTAACCTGTAGCCATCTTTCCACACTTGTTCTTTCTCCCTTTCTCTACCACAATCTTAGCTCATCCTCTTGCAAAGTCCTGTGCTCAAGTCAAGCCATTTTTGGAAGCTGAAGTATTGCAAGTTCATCATTAATATCATGAAATGAAAGGCAAACATTTCGAAGTTCAGCATAGCCCATGTGGAAGTTATTTCTTGGAAAATTTACAACACTGGTTTCTCCTATTAGAAATTGGAGGTTTTCTGAGATGGAAAAGTTGAATATTTAACAGCATTTTAGAAAAAGTATTATAATTATTATCTGTGTTTTACTGCAAGGACTGAAAATCAAGGTTTTAGGTATCTGAGTTGCAAAGAAGATAGTTTAAATGTTTAAAGTAAAGTTAAAAGTAAGTGAATAGTCAAGGCCAAAATATTGTAGTAGTGTTATTAATTTTGTCAGGATAAAGATACTTAGCAAGGTCTTTTCTCCCAAAGTTCTTTCATTCAGTCCAAATCTGTGATGGTGCAGAAGACAAAGGTCCTACAAGATTAATCAATCTAAGTAGTAATACTGGATTGCTGTGGAATTCAAATGAAGGTGACACTAATGTAAAATCACTATAGAATCCCTTCCTTTTCTGTAACTATCTTAAATTTTCTAAGAAATTTTATGTAAGAGGCAACTTCCTCGCAAGCACTTTTGACTCTTTGAGTACAAGTGCATAACACACTGAATGTGGGGAGAAAAGGGCTCATGCTGCTGTAAATATCTGGTCTTCCATGCTATATTTCAATATGAATTTTGTTAGATAATTTTTAAACAGTAGTCAAACAGTATCTCTCCATCCTGTGTGATATGTGTCCAAAGCGACAGTTGTGGGCACAGTTTAAGGTTTAAATGGCAACTGTCAGGTGTTGACTAGTCCATAACATTACTAAGATTTATTTTCTTTATTATATATTTTTTATAGGGTAGATTTTTAATCAAAATATAAATTCCATGCCCATACCAAACATGCGGTCTTATTATAGCGCCATAGACAGGCACTACAGAAACTCCTAAAGATCTGTTTCTCCTGAACAATTTTACCTACTGTTTGAAGTCACCCAACATGATCTTTTATGTGCATCATACATGAAGAAAGAACAAGCCTGTCAGTCATGCAGTATCTCATGCATGATCAGAAGCTCACCTGGGATTTCCTAGTATATTCTTCAGCTGTTCTCCAAAGAGCATTCATTTTAATTTCCGAGCCTGTTTAAACACGAAGATGGCTATGAAGATTGGACTTCTGTCTTAAAAGAATGATTCAGTAACATAATTATATGAAGGTGTATGCAATTCTGAAAGTGTATCATGGTTCCTGTGGAGTGATAGAAGCATCAGACAACTCATGCTATTAATGAAAGATTAAGAGTAACATAGCTATGTTGGTATCTCATTTTAAAAATATCTATGTCAAAATGAAAAATGCTCTTTGTTTTTAATTTACTCTGTGTGAGTCTGCCTTGTCAGTCTCTCTAACAAGACACCTATCAAAAACATTCAACAAAAAGGAAAAATGCCATGTTTCAGTCAAAAGAAAAATGGTTAAGTTTCAGGATAACACAATGATTTCGACTCGGATAAAGGCAATCTAAATAGCATGTGGCTTTTGGTCTGTGTGCCATTGTTACATATTTGTGCATACATAAAAATATATTTCCATTAACAATATCAAACGTGAACCTATACTTGAACAGCCTGCATTTGTATGGGATATCCAAGTCAGAGTTTAGTAGTGCTGAGCCAATAAGAATCATGTTGCTTGAAACATTTTATTTGGAGGTTCAGTGCTCTCAACAGCTCATATTATTATATTCCACTCCATAAACTATATACAAAGAAGAAGAAAGACAAAGACAGGAAATGGATATTGTGAATTTCAGCATGAAGGTGCTATACATGGTACGTATATATTAGAACACTAACATTATTAAGGAAACAGTGGACTCCTAGAATTTCTTTGTGGAAAAGCATTGTGCTTGATTTGACTAGATCTGAAAGTGTACTGTATTTAATTTAATCAATGACTTTCCAATAGTAAAGACATAGTTCTAAACTCTGTATCTCTTGAAAACAAAATTTGTTGACTTCAGGTCTCTATGTCAGATTTTGAGAAAAGGATCAGGAGTTCATATTTTTCCCAACTCAGCATGTCTAGGTGCATATTTCAATAGAACGCTTTGGGGGGACTTTAATTTGTATAATTTGCTCTTTTAATTTAAAAAACGATACAAAATAAAATAGTTTATCTGTGGGTTACATGAGATAAGGCCAACTCTCAAAAAGTCAGGGACAATTTGCTGCAATTTGGATAATAAAGTAGTGGGAGTTACTATGTAACAGATCCAACTGAGTGTTAGAGAGCAAAACTTACTTGTTTGTTTCAGAGTTCTGAAAATTAATCTTCATCCTCATTTACGAGACATTCATGTAATAGCATAAAGCCTCTTAGTCCTTAGGGAAGTGCCATGGACAGTGCTTCCCATTACATCAGAGATTGAGCTGTCTGTACACTGAAATCAATACAGCCAAGAAGCTGATTTGGTGTATCCCCTTTCTCAGCTGTGATTCATCATTACAAGTCATTTTGCTTTCAAATACTTTTTTTTTTCCCCTAGTCTGACTGTCCTGAGCAACCAAAAATATACGTTAGGAAAACAGCACTTTATCAGATTATTCTTCCATTGAGAAGCCAAGACCTGTTTACCTCTTTCCTTTTGAAAATGGTCAGCAGAAACTTGAGAAAATATATCAAAACAATCAGGATATGTCCCCATTTTTTTGCAACCACTGCTAACAATGTTAGCAATTTACTCACAATGTAGCAGAGAAATTTGCAGAAATAATGGCCAATGGATGAATATGAGAGTGAGACAAAGGAAAAAGCTTGCAATAAAACAAGTGAGATTGATCTTGTCTAATTCCAGCCATGTAAGGATTAGGCTTCTGAGCTAATTTATTGGTCTAGGATCTCTCTGCAGTCAGAATGCACAAATGATCACCTCAACTGTTGATATTTAGTGACAGTGTTCAAAATTCAACTCCAGATTATACCACCAGATACCTATTTTATGGTGAGCTGAGTAACTTCTAATTTAGATTGATTCTGTCAATAGTCCATTGAATGTAAGGCAAATTTGAGAAACAGCAGACCTACAGACATTTATGTGTAAACACCTACATTTGGGTGTCTTAATTCTGAACTGAATTCCTTCAAGGCTGGTAGCAGGTAATCTCTGCAGACACTTCCATTGTCAACCATCTGCTGTATGCTGCCACCTACATGCTCTTAATTCATCATAGATGTGAGAGGAATGTATTATTTTAAGTTTCAGAGAAAGAAGTTTAATCGAATGCACTTTAAACACGTTTGAGATGGGCTAATAATGCACATGGGGTTGGATACCTCAGTGCAATAGATTCACTGTGATCCATCAAACCATGTCCTCAGTTGTGGTAGGGACTTTAAAGATCATCCAGTTCCAACCCAAATCCCTCTGCCTAGAGCAGGAACACCTTCACTAGATCAGATTATTCAGCGCTCCATTCAATCTGGCCTTGAACACCTCCAGGGATGAGGCATCCACAGCTTCTTTTGGCAACCTGTTCCAGTGTGTCACCACCCTCAAAGTAAAGAGTATTTTCCAAATATCTAAATGAAACCTTCTCTCTCTTATTTTGAAGCCATTTCCCATTTTCCTGACACAACATACCCTTTGAAAAAGTCCCATCTCCAGCTTGTCCAGGTCCCTTGGGATGGCATCCTGTCCTTCAGGAGTGTCTCTGCTCCACTCAGCTTGGTGTCATCTGCAAGTCTGCTGAGGGTGCACCTGATCCCTTTGTCTATGTCACTAATTAAGATTTTAAATAATATTGGTTCCAGTATGGACCCCTGAGGGACACTTTTCACTAATCTGCACTTAGATTCTGAGTCTTTGACCACTACCCTCTGGATGTGACTGTCCAATCACTTTGTTAGTCATCTAACAGTCCATCCATCTCTCTCTGATTTGGAGAGAAGGATGCTTTGTAGACTATGTCAAAGTCTTTACACAAGTTCAGATAAATGATATCTGTAGCTCTTGCTTTGTCTAATTATGTAGTCACTCCACTGAAGGAAGGCCACTGGGTTGGTCAGTCAGACTTGTCCTTGGTAAAGCTGTGCTGGCTATCTTGAATCACCTCCTGTCCTCCATGTGCTTTAGCATAGCTTCAAGCAATAATCTTGAGTTAAAGCTGATTTTTATTCATCAGGTCCCTGATTTAAGTGCCTAAACCAGAACTGGTCCTCCCTGAGTGGGAAGAGACCAAAACATGTCCATTTAATCTCATTCTTCTTGTTGCCAGAAGGAAACGCAAAACTCTTCTACTTTGACTTACTTAATGACTATTTTTGAGCAGAAAGGAAGGAGAAAAAGGAAAAAAATGAATCATTATTCCAGTGATCAGACAATTTATTTGAACTGTGAGAGAACTTTTTTCATCCTTGCTTCACTGTTTTGATGATTTAATTCAGGAAGGGTGTATTAAAAGAAATGTAGGTTTCTCAAGAAATCAGCTAGATAAGGCAGAGCTTTTGTAGTTCTAATGCTTGATTCTATATGCTTCAAGTTTAACTAATATGTAGCACAGTCTTAGTGACCAGTAGATCTACAGAGCACAGCACTGTGTAATATCACCACTCAGACAGAGGACAATTGTGTTTGTGGAGCACTGATCTTGAGGAAATCTGCCCTCGCTTTTATCTCCTATTAAGTTGCTTTGACTTGCACACCTATGCATATTTATGCTCAGTGGCTGGCTTGGCACACAAACCTGCATCTGAATACATCCAGTATGCTCATGGCCTTCATGGTTCTGGTCAAATTAGCCTCCCAAAACCTCCGGAGACTCACCTTTGAGTGCTCAGAGTGCTGCAGGTGGATGTGGGCCTCCACTTCTGTATTGTTTCTGTTGGCTCCATGAGGATAACTCAGATAATCTTCATCTTCTCTGTATAAGCACCTGAATAATTCCTGAAATACCTAAAACTGTTCTTCTAATTCTAGGATAATAATCCTTTCTATAGTCAGTGAAGAAAAAAATATATACTTAGAGAGGGTGACTCAGGTAACTAACTCATCTTAGACACCTATTTTATGTTGCTTTGAGTCATTTAGTGAAGATACTTCTTATATACTATTATATATATTATGTATAACTGAGTCGGACTTAAATATCTAACTTTTTTAGACACAGATTTTAGATGAAATGAATTTTCTTTGTACTGAAAACTAACACTGGAACTTAGCGTCATAGTGTAAGTAGTGACTTTTGTTTTTCATCTGAACTTATTTTAATAGCTGTTGAATCAATCTGAATAGACTGAAAACTTTGAGGGATGGCAGGAATTCTGAGAAAGGAAAAAAGGTTTTGTAAATAAAACACCTCCTCCTCACGAAAAAAAACAACAAAACAACCAACCAATCAACCAACAAACCAAACAAAAATAAACAAAAAAACTCCCAAACAAAAACGAAACCAAAAAAGAAAACACTGGAAGTAAAAAGTATTTATGTAGAAATTGTTTGGGTTTAGAATCAAAAATTTCATAATTCTGGAATAGAAAGTAAAATGTTTGTTTCTTCTAAAATCTTACTATGTTTGATACTGTGCTCTCAAGAGACTGAAAAAGTCATTGACAATGCACATCTGTACTCTAGAAACAGAAGTTTGTAGAGGAAAATCAGGTCATGATTCCACAGCAGAATGTGTAAGAATGACCTCAAAATAACTAATGTAAAGTCTGCTCAGATCTTTCTGGTGTGTGCTGAGATGAGTTGCCCATAGGAAAGGCAAAAGAGAGACTTGACTTTTGTCTATGAGTAGCTACATAAGGAACAGAAAGCTGCTTTCTGTTGATGACAGCTTTCCAAATCTAGTAAGCAGGGTTATAACAAAATCTAAAGATTAAAGCCTGAGGTGAGTAAAGTACGGATTATGATGTAAAGCATGAATGAATTAGGTACAAGAAAAAGTTTAGATAAAACATGAAAATTCAGGTTAACCTGGTAATCACAGATTTGCTAGATTTCAGAGATCACAGTGGCCTTCTCAGTTTTGGGCTATCAACATCCAGAAATTGAATGATGATGTAAATAAAACAGGACCATTGCTGATCCTGGTAGAAAACATGTTTTTTTCTCTGTGGGACTTGCTGGTGATCAAAGATTTATCCCCAAGGACCAGAGTCAGGAATCCAAAATAAAATTATATACCTTTAATATTTCTTCAAACCTCTCTGGGAATTAAAATTGCCACACTTGCTATTGTGTAAATTAAAGTGGTGGTATCCTGTCTCCTCGATTTTCTTGTAGATGAAAAGCAATTCTTGTTCAAAGCTGAAAAAGCCAGAATTTTAAGTTCATGTTAGACTCTGGAACACTAGGTATCTCCGACCACTCTTTCTAACTTGATGTAGGATCATTCTGCTCAGCTAACTCCTTGACTGCTTACTTGCTAGCAGGAAAAGTATTCTCTACTTTATATGTACTCTGATTCTGTCACCTGCCTTTATTTTTATATAAAGGCTTGACAAAAATTGGAACAAAATAAAACCTCTTCAGAGACTGAGTATTGGAAATCCTTAGCTCTTTTTGTGGCCATGCACTTTAGCCTTGTTGCAGCTGGAAGAGGCCACGTGCCTTCTATGGCCTCATGAATCTATGTTGGCAAATGACACTGCTGAGATGTTAGAAAAACTTCATTAATAGAAAGGGTTTGTGGGGAACATTCTGGAAATTCAGCTTAAAATTGTTTGCTGTTTTGTTCACTACTCAACTAGATGTTTTTCATGACTGAGCAGACAGGGTTTATGAGCATACTTTGAAAAATGCCCTAAAGATGCATTGCATTGTAGATGTAATTATTTACCTCATGATGTCTACTAAATTCAGAGGGTCAGTGCATAATAACTATTGGAAAAAAAAATTGGATATGTGTTTTTTAGGAACAGATATTTTTGAACATTACAAATAGGGATTACGCAGTCCAAGGATTCTAATTAAACAGCCACCATACAGGACAAATGAGAAGAGATAAAAAAATCTATGAAGGTTTTATTTACTCAGCAGATTTACTGAGAGAAAGCACTAAGCAGGAATTTCTTAGCATATGTGAATGGACCTGGGTAAACTTCTCCTATATTTAAAGTACTTTAATGGTACTATATGGACAACCATGTGTTTTTACCAACTTGAATCTGAACACAGATTATTTTCCAATTTTCTACCACTCTAAGTAGAAAAAAAGATAAGATGAATCACAAATCAACCCTTTGAAATTAAGAGATGAGACTACATTTTGGAAGCTATGCAAATCTAAAGTAATAACAACAAGCAATAAAGTAATACAGTCGACTTCATTAACACTAGGGCAATAGCAGATTACTGATCTTTATGCAGGCTAGCACGAGGTGAGTGAAGCATGTGCTTTGTTAACAAGCCTCAGTAATATGTTCTGAAAGCAAAGAATCAGTAAGGATCAGAAAACCAGTTTCGTTCAAGATGAGCGTAAGTTAGCCTGTTTATTAATCTTTTATGTTTATGCAGGTAAATGGAAGTGCACGGGTGCACATAGATTTGCAGTATTTGTAGTGCAAGTAAAATAATGTTGCAATCTCATTCTCCAGATATTTCTGAAAAAAGAATGGAAAACAGGTGCTGATCCTCAAGTTTCTTACTGAAGAAATTTTATTGATCACTGTCTGTATCATTAATAAAGATATTGAACAGTACTGGTCCTGATGTGGAGATACATCACTTGATACTGTTTTGTATTTGAACATCGAGTCACTAATTGCAGCTCATTGTGTTCATCCATCCAGCTTGTCCCTTATACATCAAATATATCATCCTTCATATCCATCTCTCCTATTAGAGAGAAAGATGTTGTGTGATACCATGCCAAAGCCCTTACAGCGGTCCAGGGAAAGGACATCAGTTGCTCTTCTTTAGCCATTCATGCAGATGCTCCCATTATAGAGGCCAGATTAGTCAGTCCTGGGCACCTGCCCTATCCTGAATTGGAAGTTGGACTAGACTATATCCAGAGATGCCATCCAAACTTAAAATTTTTGTGATTTCTTGACTATGATCATAATTTTGGAGAGTGTCAAATTAAAGAGCAGTATTGTTTCAGTTAAAGAGCACTATTATTTCAGTAATTTTTTTCAATCCAGAGGTTAAATTGTAAAAGTGCCTAAACAAATACGTCATCCACAAAGTTCTGTGAGAACTATAAATATTTTTATTGGTTATTATTTGTAGTAGGCTGCAGAATGTATGAGTGAAAAAAATCCTTGTTTTAAATATGAATTATTTGATGCAGTCTGACTGGAGAACCAAAAATATGTCACTTGCTTCCATGTGGAGAAAACCAAGTTATTTGGTGAGGTTCTTTATCAACAACAATGCTGTGAATTGGAAAAACCTAAATGTATTCTCACCGCTTGCCCAGTTGATTATCATCTCCCAGAAACTGTTATGGTAATTTAAAAATGGGTGTCGTAATACAGGATAGAGCAGATTAGTGTGAAAAATCTAATCTAACAGTCATTAGTCTCATTAAGACTTTCTCTAAGATGGTGAATTTTCCTTCT